TTGATTACAACTGTTTTATTTTAAATAAAAAAAGAAAAAAAATATATATAAAGTATAAAATAAAGAATATTGACTTACATTGCGGTGGATCAGCTGTGTCAACTCTTAATTTAATATTTTGTAATGGTTGGATTTGTTTTCCAACAAAAAAACGATAAAGATGTACACGAATAAACGGTTCATTTGTAATTTGATTGTATGATGCCATTAAAATATTAAGTACTAATAATTATTAAAAATTATTTGATATCAACAATTATTTAGTTAATGATAAGAAATTGTAAGGACAAACATGATGTAAAGAATACTATAAAAGTACTTATATAAATAAAACAAATTACGACAAAAGGTTCTTTTTATACCTCTCATTCTATTTTCTTTACTTGATAACTTGAAAATAGTAAATCTTACATATCTATATGAGTTTTAGTAGATATCAAACTTACTAAAAATCTATAATAACATCTTTTATCTATCGTCATGAGAATTAATTTTTGTGAAACTTAAAATATTTTGTGAAGAAACTAGTGAGTGAAAGTTTTAGGTCGAGATTTTGCGGCTCCCGTCGCCTCCTCATTACTGACCTAAGGGATCAGGATTAAAGATCATTGAATATGTTTCGTTAGCAATCACAGATATAAATCAATCATTTTAACATTGTTCTCGATTTGCATAGCGAACAGCATTGGTTGAAATTTTAAGTTCAATATGAGAAGTAACCAAAGAAAAGAATGTAGACTTAATGTACTAATATGTACACTAGTAATTAACAGTAAGGCAATGATTTTTCTTATTGTAGTTAGTGTTTTAGTATCCATCTGTAACTGTTTCAATTCATGGGAAATATCATTATAATCATTTACTAGTCCGTGTCATCAAAATCGTGGAAAAATTGGTAACTTTATCACGATATCTTAGACCGATTAATCGTGAGATGGTATCGGAATTGAATCGCCTGAAGTGGCGATTTTTATTTAAAAACTCGTAATTATTCAAATACATAGTGGCTGATAAATAACACTAAGATAAGGATAGTTAAATACCTTTGCATCCGTTTAATTAAATAGGTTGATCTTTTTTGTTAGTGTTAGAAGTTCATGCAAACTTTTGTTCATGGGGATAAAGTAAAAAAAAATATATTAATGTTAAGCATTATTTTTCCTATCATGAAAGAAATTTGATCTATTATCAACGAAAATAAATACATGTCTAGCGTTTCACAGATAATTTTAGTTGTCAAATAGGAAAATAGTAAGAATAAGTCGAAACGAACTTTATGAATGGATCTATATTAGTACACATAGAGCAAATTTTTTAAAATTATGTTAGTTTAAAAGTCAACGAATACAAAATTTCGAGTTTTCATATATGAAAACATTGCTTTTTGGAAGAAATTTCATGTTTTCATACTTAAAATGTTGTATTTGTGTATTTTATTTATGGTGCACAAATTTTAGGATTTAAACTGACTAATGTAGATGCTAAAATATAAGGCAGATGATTGTTTGCAGAATAACTTTTTATAGAAACAAGATAGAGATCTGCGGTTTTCACCATTCGATAGAGAATAAAGACCAGCATTCAAATATGTCGAATTTAATTGGTTTTGAAAACGAGATTATGAAGTTATATTCCATTTGTTTTTGACTTCTAATATCATCATTTGACAGCAAAAATTGTTCTCTTTCGATCTACACAAAGTTAACATCTCTAGCTTGTTCTTTTCAAAAGATATAGAGATTTTCTAGAGATTTCTGACTTTGAAAAATTGATCTCTGATCACTCAAAAATGTGTCTGGAGAGGGATAACTGACCATACTAAGTGGAATGGTGGTGTTTGTTCTGCGTTTAAAAGTGATCTCTGAACACTATAACAAATTTTTTGAAAACTCACATTTTTTGCACTATGCAACCTAAATAGTTGATGTTTTGAAAATTTTCGTATAATGTTCACAAATTACTTTTAAACGTAGGACAAACATCACCATTCCACTTAGAATGGTCAGGTACCCTTCTCTAGACACAGTTTTAAGTGATCAGAGATCAATTTTTCAAAGTCAGGGGCGTCTGGAAAAATCTCTATTTCTCTTGAAAGGAACAAGCTAGAGATATCAGCTTTGCGTAGATCGAAAGAGAACAATTTTTTCTGTCAAATGATGATATTAGAAGTCAAAAACAAATGGAATATAACTTCATAATCTCATTTTCTAAATGACCATATAGAATTCACCGGATTGGTCAATTATCAATGTGACGGCTCTCTTTCGCGTACATGTATAAATGCCTCTGTTCGCGTATTGCTCACCAGCCATTCTTGGCTCATCCTTTCACTTCTTTTTTTTTCCCTTCCCTTGATGTTGTGTTTCTTCCATTCATATATGGAAACATAAGCCACAAACAACTCAAAAAACCGTTATAATTAGGTCAATGAAATTCGACATACCTGCATGCTAGTCTTTGTTCTCTGTCGAACGGTGAAAATTCAAGGGGGAAACATCGTACTTTTGTACTTTAAAGTACGTAAAAGTACAATGAAGTGCTTCAAGATACCTTAACGTACGATGAAGTACTTTAAAGTACCTTAAAATACCTTAGAATCCTTTAAAATACTTTAAAATTCTTTAAAATACTATAGAATACTTTAAAATACTTTAGAATACTTTAAAGTACGTAAAGTACAAAAGTACAATGTTTTCCCCTTGGGCCACGTTAATGACCTTTTATCGGAATATTTTCACAACCCTGTAAACTTTCATATTTGAAAGGAAACAATATTAGCTTAAAGTTTTTATTTGTTTTTGATATGATATTCGAGATAAATTATATCTTACTGATGTTTGATTAGTTCATTGCTGATATTGATAACTGAAATGAATAGAATCTTACCAATATTTGACGTGTTCACATAGTTAGAACTAATATTTATGATTTGAATTGTGACAAATTCGAGATAGCATTCATATATTATCTTACAAAAGCGAATAACGAAAGAGAAAACTTTTAGAATATATCTGTTGTATTTAGCAGTGAACCGAAATAATTAAATACATATCTATCAAAAAAAATAATGCAAAAGCAAAGTTAATATATGTTCATTTTAGAAAATCAATATTATTTTGTCTTCGATCCGTTTATAATCTTCTTTGCATTTAATGTTAATTCTACTCTTCGATTTATCTTCATAAATAAAAAGTGCATGAGTACGAATACAAATTGTACTTGAGAAATGAATAACACTCTACTGTGTCAAGAATCATTCGTGCACCTCATGTATCACCATCTTATCGGTACATATGGGCACTACTATCAATATATATAACCCTGGAACATTTCAAATTCTAGAACTCATTTACTGGCATGCGTCGATATGTACTAACCAGTACATGCACTACCATGAACGGTCCAGTACATATTAGTACATGAAATCTAAGATTTAAGATTTTTCAAGGATATATGCTTTGTTATGATGGTACATGTGCATGCACTACATGGTGGCACATTAGATCATATAGTAGGATATGTCAGTGTTAGTTATACTCATATTGGTGCATTTCTGTCATAAATAATAAGATCACTATGTGTTCATCCATATATATAGTGGGCACCAAAATTATTCAACAACGTTTATTTTTAATATTTTCCGCTGCTGTAAGTGCTAGAAAGAATCCAAATAGTGATTCGAATAGAGAAAAGTATCTCCAAAATGAACATAAGGAAATAAAAATTATTATCAGATTCTCGAAGATAAAGATTTCAGAAAACCAAAAAGTTAATTTTTTATCACCTAGAGCACGTAAATATGATTTTATTTAGACTATATAGCACGATACAACAAACAGTTCTCTACAAAATGAGACATCTCCGAGTTTTCTGCGGCATTTTTAGCTGAGATACAGCAATTTGATTGAAGATTAAAAAAATGGCTTTTCTATAAAAAAAAATAGTAAAAAAAGACTTTAGAGGCTTTCATAAAATTATTGTATCTGAACCAAAAAACGTCACAGAAAAGTCGGAAGCATCTCATTTTGTAGAGAATTATTAGTTCTCTATCATGCTATGTAATCTAAATAAAATTATATTTACTCGCTCGAGATACCGAAAAATTAAATTTTTAGTTTTCTGAAGTTCTTATCTATGAACATGTGATAATAATTTTCATTTTCTTATATTCTTGTTGGACACAATTTTCTCTACTCGAATAACTATTTAAATTCTTTCTACTGCTTACAGCAACAGAAAAGAAATTGAAAATAAACGTTGTGGAATAATTTTACTTACCACTTTATCTATAAGAATTCCAACAATAGCAACAATTTTCTTATCTCATATTAGTAATTATAATTAAAAATATCATCTAAGTTTCTCTTATATAATCTTCTAAATAATTGATATGGTTCTCAATAATCTACTAATTAGTTCAAACGTAAACGAAAAATTATTATGATTTCCATCTCTAACACAAAATATTTGACACATAAAATCTATATAGTTAGAAAAAAATTAATCATTTTGCTAAGCTAAACTTCGAATTTAATTATTACAGACTTTTTCAGATATTCCGATATTGGTCTGTATATATATGGAAGTTGAAATTTTAATTTCTCTTGTAACATATACATCCAACCAAAAATATGGAAAAATTTATCATTGAATACAATTATTCAGATACTTTGAAAAAAAAAGCATCTAGCTATATAGAATACTTTTGATTTAGTACTCATTGAATTAGATTAGATATAAGTGTCACAGCAATTGTTGCTTATTTATATTTGCTTCAACGATATATTCTAAATCTTTCATCTACCATTGTCATCAAATCTTTATTATTTTGACTAGTGAATAAAAACATTTCATATCTATATCTATAATTATATATATATATATTTGTTTTCGTCATTATGGAAAATATTCTCTTTTGCACAATATCACATACACAACAATGAAGAATAGAATATGTAAGAATAAAAAGAAAACAGTATTATTATTATTATTATAAATAATTATCGGTCAAATATCGATGTTCTTCCTCCTTTACCAATATTTTGTTCTTTTTGTCGTGTACGACAATTAAACATTGAACTAACATATGCACGTAAATTTGGATTCATAAAACAATAGATAATTGGATTTAATGCATGTGTACATAAATATAAATAATAAATCATAATAGGACTTTTTATAATTCGTTCAGCATTTAAAATTGATGGTAAATAAAAAAGAACAAATGATACTGTTATAATTAAAAATGTTGATGCCATACGTATTTGTCTTAAACGATGTCGATGTAATTGTTTTCGTAATGTTTCACTTTGTGATGGTGTTGTACGAGTATTTTGTATAGGTGGTGTTAATACTTTTGTTGTTTCATCTTGATTTTGACTTTCAATTGATAAATGATGTTTTAATGATGATTGATTTTTTCTACAACAACAACAACATAACCATTGATTTAATTGTGATGATGGTCGTGCAAAATGAAATTTAATTAAAAATTGACGTGTTGTTGAACATGGACATGGTAATTTATAATACATATCATTATTAACATCTAAATCACTATTAAAAATATTCGATGATATTGATGAACGTTGATTTAGTTCATTAGTTAATGTATTACGATGATTATCAATTTGAAATGATACTTGTTTAGTACTATGTAGTTTTTCTATTGATGGTTGTAAATCATCTGATGTACCATCTGATATACTAGTATGATGATCTTGTTGTGTTTTCTTTTTATATTTTATTGTTTTTCTTAACATAAGTGGTGATGAATTATTTGCATCATCACTATCATCATTATTCATAATATTTGACATTTCATATTGTTTGTCATCAATAATATTACAAGATTTAATTGATGTTTGTTTTGATAATAAATTATCATTCGAATAATTCAATTCACTTAGTATAATTGATGTTTGTTTTGGTGATAATGATGTTGTTGTTGTTGTTGTTGTTCTTGTTGTTGTTGTTGGTGTTCCTGATGAAGATAATGGAGATTGAATTGAAACAATAGAATCAGTTCCTCGTTGATTCAATTTAGTTGTTGAATATGAATCAAATTTATTTAAAATATTTAAACTTTTTTTTAATGCACGTATACGTGGATTTTGTCGTTGTAAAGCAAGTACAAATGTAATTGAATAAAAAATTGTAACTATGCCAATTAATGTAAAAAATACTTTATTTGATAAATTTTTTAATAAATCTCGTAAACTTTCAGATATAATTGATGTATCAGCAAAACATCGTAGAGATGTTGATTTATATTCGAAAGTATAATTTGTTAAATTAGCACCATCAGGGAGTTGTTCACTAATTGACTCAATTATATCTGATGATAATGAGGAATTTCGATCAGCCTCTAAAGAAGCTTCTTTATAATTATTTATTATATATGTACCATTTGCTAAAATACAATCATAATTAATCGAGTAATATTCTTTATTTGATTGAGTTGAAAATGCTAATGCTGTTATTGTGCCAAGTCCAATGCCAATTGAGATAAATAATGTTAGTAAAGCCTAAAAAGAAAAAAGAAACAAAGATAAAATTTTGTATAATTTTTTTTTTTCATTAATCTCACAATTAATACATTATGTTTTTTTATTAGATATTTTGTCACTAGATTAATATTCTAAATGAAGATTCTTCGAATGAAAATTTTTTTAAAGATCTGTATTCATGAAGAAAACTTATATCATTATTATCTTCATGATGTTCGAAAATTTGAATGACCTTGACAATTAAGATTATTTAAGAAAACAAAAATAAACGTATGATAAATCATTGGCATGTTTTATTACTGTTGACATTTAGTCGAAACGATAGGAAAATATTTACTAATATTAACATTATCGATCGATTAAAATTAAGTGCTATTGATCATTTAAACATAACATTGAAGTTTTGTTTCCGTTGTTGAAGGTCAAGAATTTTTATAAAAATATTTATTTATTGTAATGATGATTGCAGATATTTTTGATTATTCAAAAGTCTAGTTGTATTAATTTCAATTTTTATAAGTCATTAGTAATATATTTTTTATTCGTCGTACTTAAGGAAATTTGATCGTATTCTGAGTGCACAAAGAAAATATTTATTATCAAAACATCACGAAAAAAAAAACCATTTACTTATATGATGGTTTTCTGATTCATCCCTAATTTCAAAGAAACATCACAAGCGTAGCATAGTGAAAGTGAAGATAAATCTGTGAGTAAACTAACCATGAAACTTCTAATCTTAGTGCAACATTTTTTGATTCAAAACATTTATATATAAATGCAATATTGTTTATTATCGAGCAAAAAACAAAAAAAAATTTAATAGTGTTTGTGCTAAAATAATGAATGGTTGATAAATAAAGAATTATTTGTTTATGGATATATATCGACGAATATAAAGATATTCATTAGATATGTTGATAAAATCAATTACTAACTAATAAATAGACATTGACACTGTTACTGATAAAATGCTAAATCATGATATTTTTTTCTATTCCTAATTACTTTCAACATATAAATTAATAGATAACAACGACTATCTACTACTAATGACATTAATAAAAGGAAATATGATGAATGATATTCATAAGTACAGAACAAGAATTTCTTTCTCTATGAATAGACTTCTTGTGGAGATGACGTTCTTTTTTTCAACAAGGACATCTTCTGACAATGATTAAGGTGCTTCAAAAACAGAAGAAGTCATATATTAAATGACATATAGATGTTTATATAGGTTATACAAACAGCTGTACTAAACTTTCTTTTTTTTTTGACCTTTTTGACCAGAAGTGCAAAGTCTATCGTAAAAAGTGGAAATTTCCTCGAACGGAAAAGATGATTTGAAGAATTACCACGGATTCAATAGTATCTCCAAATGTAATAATTCTTCAAAAATCTTCTTCAAATATAATATAATTTTGAAAAATTTCCTCGAATGAGCGTTCGTACACAAGAGTAGATCTTGCAACTTTGCTTTTGATGTTCTTTCAAAAAGATATCCAAAATAAAAAAATAAAGGAATCAGAATAATTTAGAAAAGAAAAGCAGGAAATTAGAAAAAATCAGGATCCAATGAGATATATGAATAGAACAATAGGAAATTTCCGAATAATATTGTCAATATAGAGGTTCATAAAATGTTCAATAGCACAAAACAAGTATAATTATGATGTAGTGCGTCTAAGAGATATCAAATTTGTCAGACAGATGATCAAAACAAGGTTCTCATTACTTAATAAAATATTATTAATAAAGACATCAAATTTCTTTAATTAATCGTGTGGTAAATATTTTCAACATTAAAAATAACAAGGAAATACGACATACAAACAAGAAAAAAAGAACATCTAGAATATTATTCCAAAACAGATAAATGCAAAATCTATTTAATTTAAATGAGTTGTGTGATTAACTTTCAACAAAAACACACTAATTGCATGTGTAATTATTAAGTTATTTTACGAATATTAAACAATTGTCATCATGAAAGTTGAAACAAACCTAATAGATAAGGAGAAACTGTAATTGAGACTTAAAAAATCTGCTAGTTCTAGTACGACAACATCTTTCTGTCAAGGAAAACAAAACATTTTAATAAGTAAGGTTATGACGGATAGAAATGTACTCTTGCATTCTAAGGACACATTCATTACTGATAGATATATAAATATTCTTGTCTTTATTTAAATTCGAAGTTTTATGAATTGAAATACTATTTTACAGATTATAAACATCTCATACTTTTAGAATTGACATCTTATTAATGAATTTTCTAGTTCAATTCATTTGTTACTTGTTATAATATATGGTTACTATTTTTTTTATGGCATTTCCATTTTTCTGCATAATTGATATTCATCAATCTTGACTTTCACACAATGTAATTGCTTGACTAATTAATTTATATACTTTAAGCATTTTATAAGAATATAATAAAAGTAGACACGACATGGACTGTAAAGGTGTAATAGACGTATTTAAATTAATTTATGTAAAAAAAAAAACATCTTGTAACTAGATGTTTCAATTTCAAATTATAAGCAAGAAAAAAAACCAATGTAGACAAAATAAAATATCCAAATTTATGAATATCATGCATACGATATAAAACACAAAAGAATATTTGCATAAGTGTAAAGACGAAAAATATTCTAGCTATCATATCACAAACTATTGATTCAATTATAAATTATCTATCATCGTTAATCTTAAAATGTTTGTATAAGAAATAAAATAGATAATAAAATTATAGATTATTTAGAATTAGATGATAACATTACGTAAATAGATAAAAATGATGACGTATATCAAAAAAAGAACATTAAAAAAAGAAGTACGATTAGTTGAAATTTAAATGATAAAACTTCATTTTCTAAAATCTTCTTATCTCTCATTCATTTAAATGTTGCTATTTTAGGAAGATTAAATCATAAAGTAAAATTATTAATAATGATAAAGAAAGATTTCATGATGAAACTTGAAGTAAAAGCACTATGGATAATAATAGGAAAAAATATGAACGAAATAACAATTATCTAAGATGTTAGAAAGAATATGTCAAGCTATAATAAATATAATGATATAGTCTAATATAAAAATGATTTACTTAGTAATATTCAACTATTGCCGACAACTATTATATGAATACATCCGTTAAGCAAAAACAAAAAGTTATGAAGATTTTCTTTTTCAGTTGATACAAAATTTTAATAATAATGTAAAATATGATTAAATAAAGTAGAGATAGGCTTTTTCTTCGTGTAAGATCATAAAAATTGTATAAAATAGCGATAATCTAATAAATATATTGGATCTTGTTCTAAATGCATGTGTAAATAAAATTTGAAATTATATATTCACTGTCGTTATATTATGTTGGAAAAAAACTCATCACAACATAAGATCTGTTAAATGAAGTGTTAATATTATACTAATCATTATATGCTATATTATTATTCATTTTTCGCATCTTAGAACTCTAGACTTTTTTGGTTTTACTTACTTTAACTCGTCGTGGATTAAGTAATCGATGATGTGGTATAGCAATAGTTAAAAATCGATCAAGAGCAATAAATGACATAATAAATGATGATATAATAATAAGATTTTTTGAAAAAGAATAAAAACGACATATTGGTGTTGGTACATCAAAATCACGATATTCCATTATGGCAATAGTTGGTACTACAATTAAACATGTCCATAAATCTACACATGCAAGAATCAGTATGAATATGACTGATGTTGATCTTGATGAATTCCAACGATTTCCATATGCTAATAAAATAACACCATTACCAAGTGTTCCTATTATTGATACTAATGTAAAATAAATCGTAAGACTAATTTGAATTCGTATCGTCATTTGTTTTTTTTTTGTTTGTTTTGATTAATTAGTAATTCATCTAAATGATAGATGGATACAGATTTTAATTGATAGTTGAAATTTAAAGTTCTTCTCAAGAGTTATTTTTCTTAATTGATGTTAGCTATTTCTTCTCTCTTTTTTTTCCCCTTGATCTGTCATTATTATTTATGAAACTTATCAATAGAAAACTCTTATGAATAAAGAAAGGACAAAAATGTATTTTTGTCAAATATAATATAACGATAATTGAAGTTGAACGATGATCAGAGATAGTACATGTGTCAATCAAGACTTCCTGTTTTATAATAGTCAATAACAATATATTATTCATTATTTATGCTCACATTATTAATTTCTTTTGTTAGGATTGAATTTCTATCTCTACTAGTATCTTTCTACTTTTGTTCTTATTGTAGTTTTTCTTTTTTTGTCTTTTTTTACTTACTGTAAACATACTTCAATGAAAAGAGTTCTTGTAAGTATTATTGCAATAGACGAGAAACTAGAAAAAAAGAAAAGGAAAAGAAATAGACGAGTAAACTCAAAAAAAAAGCTGCGATTTACAAGCAGATGCATAGACTAGGAAAGAAAATGTTTTTACACGAAGAAGAAATTAGCCTTTCATCAATAATGAAACAAAAAGTATCTCAAAGCTGAATAGTCTATTCGAAATTTATCAATAAATATAACAATATTATTTTATCGAAAATTTATTTATTTATTTTATAAATGAATGATCTCTATAAACCTAATGTAATACATTTCGTGACTACACTCATAATTATATTGTGCGAATAAGGAATCTATCAAATGATCATCGGTATAATAAAATATAAATGAATGGATTGAATTGCGGTCTTTTTCTTCATATATGAATATTTGCTAAAAATATTCTCAGTACGTTTCTTTATTTTTATCACGTAAAAACTCCATACAACCAATAGAATTTTTATGTTTATCTCTTCGTTTTGATAATCATAAAATCAAGCTAGAAATTAACTACGGGAACTGAGGTTGAATAAAAACAAAAAAAAAGAGAAATCTCTCTACATCGTATATGATTCAACTGAGATTGATTCTTTTTAATACTGACTCCAGAGAAATGTTGTATTTATAAAAATAATATGTGATTGGCTTTTACATCTAATTGTTCTTTATAAGAAGGAAGAGGATGAGTTTGATTATTTATCATGAAATACAAATAGATAACTCATCTATATTTACATCTTAATAAGTTAAAGAAAGACATCTATTTCTTCTCCTATATGACGTTAGAAAAAGTATCAATTATCCATTACGAAAATAAATAGATATTTCCAATTTATGGATCATTTAAACAGAACGTCTTATCTATATCTTAGTATAAATATTTATCATATATTTATATATGAAATCATGGAAAAAAAACAGACTAAACTGAATTGTTTCATGTGAAAGATGCACTAAAAAATATATATTCCAAAGTTAATGTCTTCTAATAGACTCATAAGTAACTCTTGTTGAGATCAAACATATTTCCTAATATTACAATTAAACAGATTATAGCACAGTAACCGAAAAACTCATAGAGGAGAAGAAAACGAAAAAAATTATTCATTACATATTTTTAGTTCAAGAGCCAGGTGATCTCAAATAAGTTAGAGAAATTAGGTAATGACATATTAAAAATATATGCAACATATTTACTAAAGAACTAAAAAAATGCTTGTTGTTACTTATGATATTGGTGAATTTAACTATAAGAAATGGCACTATTATAAAGATTACATATGACAAAAATAGAAAGAAAGAAAGAATGAATGAATATATAAACAGAATGACATTGGCATTTGTTGGTGCGTTCAAAGTACAAGTCGAAGATATCATGTCTTAAGAGAAACAATAAGGAAAATAAATTCATTAGTCTTTTACAAATTAAAAACAATTTCTTATTAAATACGTCTGTCTCCATACGAGTATATATAATTAAAATATATAACTGTATCAATTTTCAAGATTTAATTACCTATAAGATAGACAATAAGTCTTCTTAATATGAGAATCTATATTATATTTGATATTTTTTAGTAGAATCCGGATATAACTATAATGAAACCGTATTAATAGATTCAATTATTACTGTCTTTAATTATCTATATATATATATATAGGTTTTGATACAGAATAATAATTCATGCTATGATTAATATTGCTTAGTTTTTCGTCAAATTATTTAAATCATTAAATTGAATACAAGTTTAAAATTTATAATAAATTTATGTAATCATAGTAACTATAAATTACCAATTAGAACGATCTAAATAAAACATAAGATTTTCATGTTAATTATTATTAATTATTTCTACCTTAGTGATATAAAAATTCTTCAACAATATTACTTGTTCACTACTAATTCAATAGAGAAAAACACATACTAAGTTGGAAAACATTATTATCTAGTTATAGATATATATATATGTATTTAATTCTCGAAGGACATCAAAAAAATATATTGTTTTTCTTTTTGTTGATATTCAAGATATAACTGTTGCATATAGAAATGTCCAAAGATCTCATCGTTCTCTCTCATTCTCTTTGGTATTTTTTTTTTGTTATTGTTGTTGTACTTTTGCAATAAATGGCTTTTGTTTGGATCCAAAAAATATTAATTCTATCAGTAAGAGACAACATCAGGATGGACAAAATGAAATAAATCAAACAAAAGATTTTTTCGGAAAAAGAAATAAAGACCAACAATTAGGGTAATTCAAATACTATTATTATATTTTCTATTCATAAACTGAAAATCTTCTTCTGAAGTAGTTATATTTGGAATAAAGAAATTCTACTTCTAAAATTAATAAGACATGAACACAAAAATTAATTATGTATAGTGTATAGTATAATAATAGAAACTATAAATCTTAATTGTTCGTGTAGCACATCTTTTTTTTTCTATTCAAGAACGTGTCGCTTAATCCGACTTCAAATTATTTCATTTCATTATATAATTGTAAATTCTTCTTTTTTTTTTCTTCGTATACTATGAAAGCGTATTAAAAATGATTGGAAAAATACAATAAACTGTTTAAATATTATATGCAAATAAAAATGAATAGAAAAGAAAAACTTAAAACCTACCCACCAGCATAAAGAGTTCGATAAAACCATTTACTTCTTTTTTTTATTGATTAAATACAACCTTAACTCATTGAAAAAAAAAATTGAACCTCTTAAATAATGCATTACAATATCATGTAAGTTCTTCCAATTAAAGCAACCAATTTATGTTGGGTGCATTTATATAATAAAACAGATGTCCTTGTGTTAGTGACGTTAGACATGTCATCAAAAGCAAGTGAAAGTATCGCATTTAATCTTTGATGTTTAATGGACTCTTAGGCCATTTTCAATGACAATAAGAGAGTCGTGCATGAGCATCCATTTTAAGCATCCACTTGAAAGAAAAAAAAATAATGACGACAGACAGAAAAGAGAAAAGATAGATAGAAAGTTCTGACACTGATTGTTCATAGTGCTTTTTGCTATTCAATATCTCATGCACACGAAAAAAAAAAACTATCAAGTATTACGGTATAAACGAATTTTAAAAAATTGATTTTTTTTTCTGTTTGTTCTGTATTACATTTCAAAGAATGTACTAAAGAGAATATGCAATAATTTTATAATTCTCTTTATTCATGATGAAAACTTATTGATTTAATCCTTTTGCCTTCCAGAATAGAAGTCCGCCCCATAGATTAGAATTTTCCAGAGAAAATAGAGAGCCACTTTGTACAAAAACGAACATAAATCAATAAAAAGTGAAAGAATACGCATATTTCTATTAATTAACAACAAAACTGATTTCAACACACGCTTCATTACAAACTTATAGCTTGCAGCACAAAGGCACCCTCTCCATGGGCTTCTATTCTGTGGATGGAGGGGGGGGGGGGGAAAGGTTTACTCAATTCAATCTGGATATCAGCAAGCATGTTATCTATCACAAGACCTTTTTTAGAATGAGATATACAGGACAAACAGAAAACCAACAGATGCTATCTTTCAACAAAAGCAATGATAAAGCTTCCTACACAATGTCCTTGACAATAACAAAAAAAAAACGACCCGAAATGAATGTATAATTCAGTCAATTGTATAATTGGCATGACGGCACGACTTGTTGTTTTCATCTCAGTGTCTCTCTCTCTTTTCTCTATAGTATACAATACGAGAAAATCTCTGTCCATATCATGCATAACCTATTTGTATAAATAATGCTATTCTCTGTATGATTAAAAAAACCAAGAAGAGAAATGAATAAAATTTATACTGTTTGACAAACAGGAAAAAAATTTAATAAGAAAGATAATAAAAGTAGATTTATAAAATTACTCTTGTTATATATATACACCTCTATTTATTTCTACATAAGAAACAATGAACATACAGATGTTAATAATTTTGTTTTTATGAATGGAAGATTAAAAGAAAAATATCCTATTGAGAAAAAAAGTGACAGATTTTAGAAACGATATCTATATTTAAAAAAAAGTGGTAATCTCTAAGACTATGATAAAGCTTGAAAAAACATAGCACTTTATAAAAATATTGAATCAATTCACCCATGATATACATTGACATAAGTGCAAATAACAAACTATTTTCGGTTGAACTATTCTCATTTCTTATAAAATGTTAAGTGTTTCATTAAATTTACCAACTGGCTACATGTTTCCTAGGTTTTCAATTGATAGAAATCTTTGGATCCATTTAATTATATGCATTCGTTTTTCTCAACTTGTTTTTCAATATAAAAAAAGGAACAAGAAAACTTTTACCTAATATAGAAATTAGCTTTTTGTACTCATGCACATCGAATTTTAAAGAAGATGACTTCTATCTTTACTGAAAAAGATTCTCGTCTATTCATCTGTGAATTTGCGTGTATTCTTGTCTGAAAGTTGACATGACAGTTTATATATATATATATATAAATTGTAGCCAATTAGTCTTTTCTGACCTTTAGGCGAATAATAAAATAATCATTTTGTGATACCTAAAACCTGATGCTCATTTATTCCATGTCAATTTTTCTTGTATACTCGCATGACATAAAGAAGAAAAGGAAAGGAAGTGCTTTTTTTTCTAATGAAACATTTCATTTAGCTTATGCTCTTTTCTGCCTCACTGACTATGTATAGATTAGTTTCTATTCTATGTTTTCATCTAATATTCAATCATTCTAGTAACAATATATAAATAGAAATTTTTTTTTCAATTGATTTAATTTTCAAAAGCTAACCTACATCAATGAAATGACAAGAAATATGTTTATCTTTACATAAATTGAATCATTATTATGCTTCAGAACATCTTAGTCTTTGAAATATAATTTCATCTCATTTGTTCAAATTTTTTCTCTTATATAGAATAATATTTTTTTCTTATTATAATGAGAATGAAGTAATAAAAAAAAATTCAACTCATGTGTTATAATTAAATTATAAGTTCGACAGTTTTTTACATTAATCGATTAAAATAAAATGAATTATTGATAAAACAATTTTTTTATATCTATCCAATGACATGTTTTATAATTATTCTATTGAAAGATGTAAACAATATGTTATATACATAACAATAGGAAATATAATTAATATTTTATATAAAATAAAAAATAATAGACTTTATACTCTATATAAAGACTTATTTCACTACAGTATTTTGTTGATCCTATTCAAGACTATGAAATAACAAAATAGAATAACACATACTATAATTTAATTTTAGTTCATATAATAGATGCTTATGAACATGTCATACAATTAAATATATGATAATTGTTCAAAAGAAAAATATATTTCGTTAAAAATTCTGAAAAAACATTTTTCAGTTTTTTTATATTAATTTTGAACGATTACTATTCTATATTACACATTATATTCTATGATGAGAATCGTACATTAATCATTGTATTTCATTCAGTAAAGTCAATTGCGTCATTAGTGCTAAAATCACATCTATTGCAATATGAAAGAAAAATCGATGAATTTTATTAGTAAAAAAAAAAAAACATCGGTAAAACCAATCATTTTCTAGAGTAGTGAAATATGATATAACTTCTCGAGAGAGTCACACTTGTTGAAAACGTTTCTGATCATAGAGCGCAAAAGATTTCCTCAACACCTCTTGTTAGAAAGTTGTCAGTCAAAATTTCGACACCTATACGAATATAATTACGCAGAATAATAAGAAAAAAAAACCTATCTTTTCTACATGAAGCTACTCATACATCGAACCTTTTGAAATTTATTTGGTTTCATTAAGATCTGCTTGTATAATTATTCGAACTCAATATAAATGCAGTAGATTTATAACTAAAGTACTTAGAATAGATTAATTAACATTAACTTATATTGCAACTTCATCGTTCAATATAAAGTAAGTATTCAAAACCTTCTTATAAATCAGCTAAACATACATAGAAGTGTAAGCAGACCTACTGACTTGCATGCATTTCCATCGACGCAAATAATTAACGAGAGTTTCCGCCACTGCTCCTGGAAAAAAAAGTAGATAAATGAGTTTTCAAAACGCTCGATTGTTAAGATTACTTTTTTTTAAAGTAATTATGTCTAGATTTTTTTTTATCAAGGCGTTCTCTACCATTATTTTCCTCTTTTTTTTCAACTTGAAAATTTCTCGGAAGTAAAAAAAACTATTAAAAACTTTTAAAAACATTTCAGTTGTATTATATTAATCTAACAGTGTACATCATTAATTAAGTTTTATTTTTCGTAGGATTTCACAGTGCATATTATATTATTAACATTAATTTCTGTCATAAACTGTCATGATCGATCAAATAATTTTTCTTATATTTTCAACAAATTTTATATTTTTTATTATATATCAACATGATCGAGCATTTCAAAAATTGATGATGCATTCAATACAGTTATGAGTAATAAGCACTGTAAGAATAAAAATAATCAGATTATATTCTTCTATTGATAAGAAATTCTGTAAAACGATTAAAAAAAAGAAGACTCTCCGTTGTTCATATAAAAGAATATTTCATTACATAAAAACAGTCTCGAGTCAAATAAATACTTATGTACTCGATCATTTTAGACGGATTTTTCGTCGTTCGATAAGTGCTGTATTACGACCGTATTTTACCGCATTATCAACGATCGTAACCAGTCTAGATACTTGATTTTCAGATCGTTTGATGACTGTTAGCAAGTGTATATGACTCGATAAAATACGGTCGTTAAACTACATCCACAAAACGTTTATTTCCAACTATTTGCGACCACAACTTAAATAATATGACGTTATACAATACTATTCTTTGTTGCCTCGGCGATTTTCATAATCGTCTTGGGATCATTTCTATTGATACTTTCTATAATTGATCTAACATCATATTGTTGATATAAAAAATAAAATAAAATATTCAAGTTGCTTAAAATATGACAAAATCATTATCAAGATTTTAAAATTCTAATTGTATATTTTAAATAATAGAAATAAAAAACGATGTCAATGTTTAGTCTAATGTTATTCTTAATTCAGAAGCATTTATATTATTTCGTTGATACATATAATTCAAAACATGAAATGATGATGGCAATGACTAGATTTTTCATAATATTGATTAAAAAGAATTTTATGTGTCTTTAGTTTTGTTTTTGCAAAGCTTCACAATGAATAGATAAATATTCACAATATTATTCATCTTAGCATAAAAAAAGAATATATATCCTCGAATAATTGATTTTCTGCATGAACTTTGGCTGGAAAGCATGTTTCTTTTCGTGTTCCTTTTATTTTTTGAAATGCCTGAAACGATTCACTTATTATTAATAATATTTACTATTTTTAACAAACATAACCCGAGGAAGAACCAACAAGAATGTCACTCTAGTAGTCTCGTGAAGTGTTTAAAATTTCTTAAAGTTCATTGAAAATTTGAAATCTATTATATCTCCTTCAACTTCACTACTTCATGTATTTCTTTTTTATCAATTATTTACTTAAATTGAACAAAAGCAATGTTTTACAAACTACAGAAAATAAAAAAACAGCATTTCTTTAAATAGACCTCTAGTTATATAGAACAAATATAAGTAATTACAAGCAAATACTCTGAAGGTTCTTGAAATCTCAACCATAATAACCATTGCATACTACAAATATCGATACAGAGCATTAAATAATCTATTTTATATAAGAGATAATAGTATAAATAAATATTTATCGGGAATGATAATTTTGAAAGAATGATTATGCTTAGACAGTTGTTTTTTTGGTCAAGATATGTTCGATAATGTTAAACATATCGACAAACATAAGTTTTTATTTTAACAAATAGCAAAACAACAACAATAATAATAGTTATTATTATTATTATTATTAATAAGTACTATAATGCTTAAGTCGATACAAAAGCACTTTGCCATTATTGTTGCCTAATGTTAGAAAACCACTGTTTGGTGAAAAATCCAATGAATTAACAATTTGAATTTTCTTATCATGAAATTCTGGAAAATTTTCGTATACAGTTAATGTAGGCATATGAACCTAAAAAAAAATAAAAATTATAAATAAATTATCTTTATTAAAAAACATATTTGAAAAATTTTATTTTCTTTTACCAATCGAACAGCTCGTGATAAATGATATGAATTAATAGCTAATAATTCTGAACTAGAATTTATTTTAACATTTTGTATTGGTGTTGTTAAATTTTTCAAATATTTTATTGGTTTTGGATCACGATTTTTAAATACATCATCATATGAATAAACATTAACAATACCACTCTTTTGACTGAAAACAATAGAATTTAATAAGAAAAAGCTATTAGCACAATCCCTACGGGATTAATATATGAAACATGATTTAGCTACCGCCGTAAATTTTTTTTATTCTATCTATTCTGGAATACCCTTCTTCGTCATCCTTTTATTTAGTCTTCGAGAAATGCAATAAGGAGATACGTCATATATTATAATGAGATGTTATTGGTATACCGTCTGTGCACAGTGGATAATTTCTATAGAGTACGTAATTGGAAAAAACTGAAATTCGTAAAAGAATATTTAATGATGGAAAATACATCACGGGATCCTTATTCTAATCTTTTATTGACAAAATTTTTATTTTGAAGATTAACAAATGATACATCATTTGATACAGTTTTTCGTGTTAATTCCATATATGTCCTTATTTTTCTCTTAAAATACTTTCAAGATAAAAGAACACAAAAAATCTTTAAAAGTTCAAGTTTAGAGCTATGCTAAAATGTATACACAGAATACACTGAACACATCTTGTCAGAAAACACTTAATTGAAAATCAGTATGATGTATTTCTTAGATCTTGTTACTTTCTTTGGAAAAAAAGTTTTTTTTTCCAAGATGACAGAAACTTGATCAATTTTTTGAGTCAAAGATTTTCCCAAACTTTTACAGAACTAGAATAATTTTTTAAACCAAATACTCGGTCATTGACTAAAGTATGTTCTACATTATTCAAATCGCAAAAAAAAAATATTATTTTCATTTTTTTTACCAAATATATTTATCTCTACACTACAACACTTCTTTTAAATCATGTTTCACAAAAAAAAAAGACTGAAATTAATTTTCAAAAGAAATAATTTACCCGGTAATAAAATATTGTTGGTTCGGTGAAACACACATACTCGTTGTTGAATAACTACCATCATCAACAAAACGATGTATAGCTGCTCGTCGGCGTATATCAAAAACTGTGACAATACCTTCATCTAATAAATAATCAAAATAAAATTTTTTTTAGTTATTAAAAGAAAAATAAAAACATGAAAGAAATTTTTACCTCCTGAAGCAAACATTAGTTCACTGTCATGTCGAAATGTAACACTATTAATATTTCCTGAAAGTTGAGTACTATCGATTAATTCTTTTGACTAAAATAAAATATTTCAGAAAATTTTAAATTAGATAAAACAAAAGAATATTTGATATACTTTTGTAGATACAAAATGTAATTGACCATTTCGATTAATAAATATAATTAAAGATCCATCAGGACTTAATTCAAATCTTCCCAAACGTTCTTCAAATCCTAATATGAATTTAAAATTTATTTATTTTTTTAAAAATATATTATATCTGTTTACCTCTCATCATAGGTATTTGCATAATTTTTCCTTCGATCATATCATAAACTTTAAAAAAATTTCGATCACCGGTAACTATCACTTGATTACCATCTCGACTAAAATGTGCTGTATCAATTGAGAATCGTTCAAAAAAAAGTGATTGAATACGTTCATTTTTCTTTCCATCAACCTAAATAAATAATATTTTATAATGATTAGAAAATTTCTTTCTTGTTTTTTGTTTTTACTTGATATAAATTTAAATATTGACTTCGTCCAGCTGTAAGAAGTATTCGTGCAGTTGGATGAAATTCGACTGATCGTAAAAGTTTCTAAAATGAAAATTTCATAAATGAATCATAGAATATTAAAAAAAAATAATAATAATAAAGCATACAGAATGAGCTACATCATGTTTAAAATCTGCACAACGTAAACAATCAATTGTTCCAGCTCGTAAAACAGTTGATTTTGTTAAATAATTTCCCGTACGACGAAATAATTCTTCATCACTATCATCTAACAGAAACAAAATTATTCAAAATAAAAAATAAAATTTTTTTTTCCATATTTGAAACTGAATCTGAACGATTACCTGCATCTGTTTTTTTGTTTAATAATTTTTCTGCCCATGATGGTCGGCCCATAACACGTTCATATCTAAAATAGCAAAATAATTTGCACAATATATGATCGAAAAGTTTTTAAAAAAAAATGTTTGTTCACTTTTATGACCTGCTACAAAAATATTTTCAATAAGTCAAAAGCTACGAGTTAGGATGTTCTTTTCGAATATGGGCTTAGGAATTTTGTTCGAGAATAGTGAAATGATCTTTGAAAAGCCTAAAAGATTATTTTGCACCTTTATTTATACATCAACTTGTAGGTTGGAACCTACCCTATGAAATACACAATTTGAAGATATTTGTTTTATCTTTCGATAAGGCACCTAAATTTTCGTTTTTCCTAAATACTCATTTTTGAAAAATCGACAACTATTCTACGTTGAAAGGAAATGCTTGTAACCTCACTTAGATAAAAGCTACAGTTTAGTTCAATATCATATTTTGTAGACAAATATCCGTTCTATAAAACGACTGATTCTAACAATTTTTCTCATATTCGAAAAGGAACTTATAGAGCAAACAAAAACTTGTTGGGTCACTATTAAAAATGACTTTTCAGGTCTTTCAAAAAGTTCGTCACTGCTCTTGAACAAAAATGGACACAACATTTCTAAGTTCATATTCAAATTCTGATCATGATCTATAGTTTTTTGCTCGTCTAAAATGCTTTCGAGCAGGCTAAAATGAACAAATATGTTCACCAGAAATATCAATCGATAAGTTCCGTTCAAATTAGTTTTTTTTTAGCTTTTCAATGATTATTTCACTAATCTTGAATAAAATTTGTAAACTCATATTCGAAAAAATCATCCTAGCTCATAGCTTTTGACTCGTATGCAATATTTTCTAGCGAGTCACAAAAATAAACAAAAACATCTTGTCTCAAAAAACTTTTCAATCACACGTTAATATTTAAAAAAAGAACTTACTCGAATTTAAGTTTTGTTTCATATTCTCCTGTTGTGATTTTTCGACGTTTTCGCGGACATATTTGATTAAAATTTGGTTCGCGAACACTAAATATTTTTAAAAAAGAATCTAATGTTTTTAAATCTTCGATCAAAAAACAAATTTCACTAACATTTCTTCGGTTACTTCTTCACTATCGATCCATGCTGGTTTTTTCGATTCGACTGTTACTTTTGTTGTTTTAATTTTAGTAGTCTATAGAGAATAGAAATTTAATTTATATAATTATCTATATGATACACTTAGATATACTTGTTTATCTGTTGTAGTTTTCGATGTTAATTCATCAAGATAATCATCATCATCTCCAAAAACTACATGTGTAAGAGCAGATTCTTCATCGAAACGTTTATCCTTTGGATCATTATCTTCTTCTGTTGCAAGTGTATATTGAATGCGACGTTTTGTTTTTGTTTTCTTCTTTTTCTTCTCAACTTTCGATGTTTTTGTTCTTACTTCAATTGGTGCATCAGAATCATCAGCATTATCATCATTGATCGTATCAATATTCTCAAGTAACGAAACCATTTTCGGAATACTAAACAAAAACAAACATAAAAAGTTTCTATGTAAAGATTCATTATTATTTTTTTTTTATTAAGAAGAAAATTATTATTTGATTTTTCATATAGCAATTAAATGAATGCTAACATTATCATTTTCAAAACAAAAAACAAATGCATTATAGAAAAAAAAAATCAACAAATAACGAATATAGTAAAGAAAATGAATGTCTAGATAAATGACTATATACAAAAATAAGCATACATATCAAAAACAACAAAAGAAAAAAACACATTTATGATATGTACAGATGTGAGCAAATGATTAAGCTCATTATTAATGAGCGATTGCAAAAACAAAAAAAAACAAAGAGAAATTTAAAAATACCATTCTTTTGCTTCAGTTAAATCTGGATGACGTGGATCACCTCTGATAATAGCTGTATCAGCATCAATAGCTTGATCAGCACCTTCATCTTCTTTTGTTTTATAATGTCCACTTTTACGTGATTTATGATAACATAAACCAAGACCAATAGCAATAAATATTGCAGCAAAACCTATTATGCCTCCAATAATACCTAAATTTCTTGCATAAATATTTTGTGTATAAACTGGACGAGGTAACACTAAAAAATAATATAAATAATTATTTAATTATTAAACAAACAAAAAAATAATAATAATAATAAACAAACCAAGTATTGTAAATCCACGATCCGGTGGAATTTCTACAGGTTCAGGTGGATATTTCACAGGTTCTGTGCCACATGGCCATTCACTAAGATTAAAAATAAATAAATTTCTATGTTTTTATTCCATTATTTATTTCAATTTACCGAATATTTCCACCGGTCCATGTTATATTCGGATCACGTTCTTCCAAAAAAGCATATTTTAATGGAAATATACGATTAAATTGTAAACGTGCAATACAACCACTAAAACCTTGTTCAGGTGGTGTTGTTTCATTTCTTCCAATATACATAACACGTGGACTATCAAATTGCATATCAATTTGTTGTGTTTGAGGAAATACATCAATATATGGTTCATAATTATCAACACTAATTATAATACGTTTACCATAATCACGACGTGTTACAATAATTTCATGATCTTGTCCATTTGTTAAATCATATGGAACATTATATTCAAATGTATCAAAACCATAATTAAATTTTACACGTACACCACCATTATTATTCATTTCAAGAGTAAAATAATCAACCATACCTTTTTCATCCGTTTTATCTGATTTTAATTGCATTAATATGCCTTGTTTTTTATATGTTGTAAATAAAACACGAATAGTTTCTTCTTCAGTAGCAGTAACACCTTGAAAAAAAAAGAGTCATAAGTAAATTATATATTCTGTTGAATTTTTATTTTAAACTTTCCCTCTGAAAATTTTTTTACAGACATGTGAGAAATCGTGACAGAAAGGAAATTTTAGCGATTCTAATTCTGTTTCTGAGAGATATTCATATGAAGACACTTTCTCTCACGAGAGAACTGTCTCAACTGACCTTTCCACTGTTTGAGTTCATATTAGATCCACAGATAGGTCCCAATAAGGCTAGCAAAAGCCTAAGAAGTTCGTCCTCATGGGCCTCTGGAGCTAGGTTTTGATCGATTTAGTAGACTTTTTATTTACTTCCAGGTACCCTACGAAAGATTGCGGGACAGAGCTATAATTTAAAATTTCAAGTACATTTGAAAATTAAATAATTCGACGAGGGAACATTCTTATTCGCTAAAAACTTCAAGATATTCTAAGATTCATTCGACCTATCTATAGGCCCACATGAGCTTAAACGGCAAATGTTACTTGAGATTGTTCCCTTGTTAGACAAACTATTATAGAAAGTTGATGATTTCAACATCTTCTGTTCGATTTCTGCCGCATTATTAACTCCTCCTACTCTCAAAAACAATCGGAAACTCTAATACTGTTGAACTATATTGATCAGATGAACTAGTAGAACAATCTCTGATTACGCTAAATAAAACACTATCTATATCCGAAAAAGTCCTAATTATTATCGGTAACTTCGAACAACGATCAAGCCTATTGATAATCAACAATTGATTAATGATAGTGCAAAAATAAGGTTAAGATCTAATATTCCTGACAATTTTATCTAATCGCAATCAAAAAAAATAAAAGAAACTTTTCTTAATCTCTACCTATTATTTTTATTGAATATCTCCTTTGTTTCTTTTTTTTCCAAATTTTATAATATATTCTTTTACCTTCAGTTGGAAACGTATATTTAATCATTGTATTTGCTTCTAATCGTGTTCCAATTTCTGTTGAACAAATTGGTCCACGAAATGGTGTAAATGTACAATCACAATCATATGTTGACCAACGTTCATTACATCGTCCTCCATTTAGACAAGGATTACTTTGACATTTACCAATACATCCAGGTGATATTCCATACATTCCACGCAATGCTTGAGATTTTAAATCAATTAATTCTCCATTAACTTGAAATGCACGTATACATCCAACAAAACCATTTCGATTTCTAACAGACGCACCAATTGTTAAATTTGATGTTAAACGTATATGACGAAATGTTGTTTGATCTTCTGGATTAGCAGCTGATAAACTATCAACTGTTAAACGTGCTTCTTGTCGATTAATTTCTACTTGTACTGTATGCCATTCATTATCATTAAAATCATATGGTGAACGAATTGTTACAATATTTGTACCACGACCAACACTATATCGAAATGCTATTTCACGTGGTGCTTGAAGACGAATCTTATAAAACGAAAAAAAAAAAGAAAATAACTTTCAATAATCAATCTATTTAAAAAAAAACAAATGGTTACTTCAATAAGATCTCCATCATCATAACCAATATTTTGTACAATAATAGCTGAACCAAATGTTGCTGAATCAAAACCAGTTTTAAATTGAAAACGTATATCACCGGCTACTTTAGCTTCAAATGGTGATACAGTTATAATTGCATCAGCTTTTCGAAATGTTATTGTATTATCATAAAGTAAATCACCTTCACATTGAAGACGACCAACTTGATAACGACCATATTGTGATGAACCAGCTGGTCCTGTGAAAATATGATTTTCAAAAACAAAAAATTTTTTGTTTTTTAATTTTCAAAAAATCTCTTAAAAATACCTGTATCACCAAATTCAACTCGAAGAACAGGTAAAAATTCTTTTCTTGTCAAATATCCTGCATCTTTAAGTTCAGCTTTAAATTGTGAATCACAATTACAAAATAAATTTGGATTAGCACATGTCATATCTAAACCACATGAACATTTTCCTGTTCCAAGTTCACTTCCACCCCAATAATCCATTGTTTGATTTGTACGACCAATCCACCAACCAAATGGTGGATTTGGATAATTTAATAAACGTGAATTAAAACATGTATATTCAATATATTGTTTACATACATATGAACGATCAATAACAGCAAATACTTGTGCTAATGGTACACGATAATTTATTGTTTGAGAATAAATTGAATTAGGTAATTGATAACCACTTGATACATAACTTTCTAATTCATGATAATGACCTATTTCTGTTACATTAAGAATTTCAGATTTACCACCATAACGACATACAACAGGAAATGGAGATAATGGACCACTACCATCAATATCAATTATTGTTAAACGTTCAGGAATTATTTCATCTATTTTCATACGATTTAATTTAAAATCAAGACATGATAATGGATTATCACTAATATGACATACAGCACCGCTATAACCTGTTTTAGAACAATCACAACGAAATCTTGTCCATGTCTAATGAAATACGAGAAAAAAAAATCAAGATTTATTTTTCAATAGAAATAATAAAATGAATTTGAAATTAATGTAAATTATAATTATTTTACTCTAATTTAGGTCATATGTATTAATTGTACTATGATTCTGTTTGTACTACTATTAAAATCAAAATACAGCTCTAGATAAAATTCTTTCCATCTTGTCTTATTCTTTGCTGTTTTCATTGCTGTATTATCAAAGATGAGACTATTAATTTATAGATAAATCTTGACTAGACATGTATCGAGCCCGAGTAGCTCAGGCTTTACAAGTATTAGACATTGTTTGGGTTGGGTATCTTTTTGATTTCAATAGAGTCACTAAAAACCATCGGAACAATATTTTTTGAAATAAAGAAAAACTAACTCATCCCGAACAGTGTATAGTATATGTGAAAAAAGTTTCAATTCGATCGGACGTACTTAGTCAGAGAAATGGGAACGTTTCTGCACAATTTTTCATGAAAAAGTTGGTTTGAGAAAAATATGATTTACTATTTCTATTACGTAAATTTAATTCTTTAATGTTGAAAGACAATTTTTGGATCTCAAAATGTACTCATTAGATATATACTACTTTAGACTATACAATAACTAAAAAAAAGTTTCGATTCACGAAAGGAGAAGAAACACTCTTAACGATTTAGTTGTTTCATTATTCATTTGAAAATATTTGATTAAAAAAATAGTCATCATATATTCATTCTCATATTTTACATCAGTTTAGACTCTTCAGATTACTATCGTGAAGCATTCATTAAATACTTCTTGATGGCATTAGACCTATTGCAATTATAGGATAGCAAGAAAAAAAGAAGTTTAATCTTGATTCGAATGTATCGATTTAAACGTTATGACTATGATTTTTTTTAATCTTACTTGATGACATATGCCGCCATGACGACATGGATTCGGTGTACAACGATCAAACATTTCACAAGCATCAACAAGTACACCATGATTAATAACAGTTCCTGTTCTTGGACGATTATCACCTGATCTTAGAATAGTTAAATTACTTGTTAAATCTCTTGGTAATATTTGTATTCCACTCATAACTAATTGTCTTATACAACCAACAAAACCATTCATTGTTGTTTCACGATTTATTTGATCACCATTTGAACTAAATGTAAAACGATCTGTTGTTGATAAATTATTACGTGTAAATGATAATTCAGGTTCATAATCAACTGTTATATTAAAACGATATTGTGTTAATAGAAGACTTATTTCATGCCATTGACCATCATTTAAATTATCTAAAATTTTGAGATAAAACAAAAGATACCAGATCATTAAAATTTACCTCGACGATGACGAACAGTTCGTTTATTTCCATCTAATTGTAGAGTACAAGCTAATTGTCCTTCGTCAAGAAACAACTTTAACAAAATAACAACAACAAAGATCAACCACATATTTTTTTATTATTTTAAAATTTTTCCTACTCGTAAAAAATCTTGATCAGGTACATCATTAATACCAACCATTAAATGTCTCGGTTCAGATAAATTTGTATAAAATAAAATTCCATTTGGTTCAAATGTACGCATTTGAAAACTTATATCAATAGATGTTGAACCTGGTTTACGAAATATTTCAAGATAAGAATCAAATGTTTTAAATGTATATGGATGCATATTCATTGAATCATCCTAAAAATTAAAAGAAAAGAAATTATTATTTATGAATAAAACAAACAAATAAACTGATTATTTATTATGCATAAGCATGCCAGGACCAACTCAAAAAAAAAACAAAATAATATAGATTCTCATCATGCATGAGCACAGCAGCTGAAATTATTGATGAAAGCAAAAAACACAATATGATATTTTCCTCACTTTTTAATCTTAATCTAAAAGAATAAAGTAATGAAGTTATTATTATTTCTTTTATTATTATTAAATATGATAGAAAACGAAGAGACAAAAAAGAAAAATTAGTATTTAACTTACTTCACACATTGCTCCAGAACCAACTCTTCCTTGTTCAAGACCATAGAATGGATTTTGTCGTTGTAGATTTTGTAATATATCCAAAATAGAATTTGTTGATGGACTGACATATAGAACATTTTCCAAGCAACCTTGAAAATTAGGTCGAACATTTATTCCTCGTTCCATATGATTAGGTGCGCCACCAACATAAAGCTAAACAGAAATAGAAATGTATCTATTAATCAATTTGAAAGACACTCGCGTAGTCAGACAACTACAACTATGATCAAAATTAATGAACAATAAAAAAACCTAATCGCATATTTTATATTATCACTTCTATTCTGAGTGAAAGAATATTCTTACGACGAAAAGAATAAGTATATTGTAACATTTGATTAAATAAAAGAAAACAATGAGTATTAATCATAGGATTAACGAGTATTCTATGCTTTGAATTCGATTTATACAATTACAAAAAGTTTATATTTTTGCTATCAAATAAATTGTCTTACTTTTCCATCAAGATCTAATCCATTAAATGCACTTTGTGATTCTTTACGTACAATTGTTTGATCAATTTTTACCGAAATATTTCTCATATAACGTATAATAGCTAAATCATGCCATTGATAATCATCTAATACACTACCAGCTTGAATTATTGTTGCACCGGAACGTTCTGGTATTGAACCTAAAAAAAAAAAGAAATATTCTTTTCTCAATATATATATGTATATATATTTATAATCATAAATGCAAACCTAAATCAATTCCAATAAATATACTTCCATTACGAAGTTCAACACTTAAATAATCATTATTTTGTGTTCCTTTAGCATAAAATAAAAGTCCATGTGGATAATTTGTTTTAAAACGTAAACGTAATTCATCTTGTTTATTATGTAATGGAATAAAAGTTGCATCATAATAAGCAATTGTTTGTCCATCAAAGTTAAAGGATGAAGATGCTTAAAAAAACAATTTAATAAAAAAAAACAAAATCTTAGTATAATAAAATAAATTTTCATACTAAATGGACATCCATAAACTTCTACACGCATTGAAATAAAATTATTCCATTGTCTAGGATTAAAACGTATATAACGTGTGATAACAGGATCTGAGAGATTATTGCGTACAATAGTATCATCATTTTTATTACCAACAAAGTTCTGAAATAAACCAAATTAGTTTTTTTTTTTGTTTAAATATATCCTATTGAAATAACCAACCACAATGATTTTGTCTTCAGTTGTATAATAAAACCAATTATGGCCATTATCAGAATACATTAAATTAAATATCGTTACATATTCTTTTGCTGCACGACGACCTTGTGTTGCAACACCTGTTACATAGTATCGAGAACCAAGATCAACATATAAATATTGATCTGCATCCATATAAGCAGGTCGCCAAGCTTTAAAAGAAATAAAATAAAATTATTTGAAGTTAAAAACCATTCGAAAAACAAACCATAACGACCGTTTAATCGAGCAGTATATGGTTCTCGACCTTCTACAAAAGATGACGCAAAAAAAGCCGAATTTGGAATTCTACCCGATTCAACACCTAAAGTTGGCGGTTTTTTGCAAGGACTATAAATATCAGCTGATGTAAGACTATTGATAACTAAAAACTATCATTTAATTTAAAAATAATTAATCAAAAAAAAACGAACTTGAAATGCAATGTAGAAAAACGAAAAAGGAAAACAATTCTATGGACGAAATGATCAACATAGTTTGTACTAATCAATAATAACAGTTTTTATTTGAGATGTGAATAAGATCGATACAATTATCACCGTTTGACCATTACAAAATGAATCAGACCCAAAACAAGTTGAGATATTTCTTTTCTCTAAAAATTCTTTTTTGACACGGACAAGGTCATCATATAGAACTAACTGACCGTTTTCATAAATATTGATTGGTTATCTTTTTCTTTCTTTACCTTACGATTAGTCATATCTTTCCTGTTTAAAAACAGAACAAGTTAGTGATGTCACTAGTATATGATATTTATAAATATAGATAATCATACTATTTAATTCGCGATTAAAATATGAAGATAAATACATACAAATTAGCATAATTAATAACACAACTGATAGACAATAAAAAAAAAGCTTCTGGATTAAAGAGAAAAACACCACACTGACGTATAATAAATGCACAAAAATGTACACAGTGCAAAAAACCAAATACTTGTGGTACTTTCCTGTTATCCTGACCACCCTCAACACACACTCTCATCCTCACCCTGAGGTGGTCGGGATAACAGGAAAGTACCCTTTTTTTTATAAACAATTTCTTTCCGTAAAGTTTCTTAAAATTTAAATAGTAAAGTATTAACAAATGTGTCAAGGGACCAAGATCAAAAAAAAAAGACTGCTCGTTTTTGTATTATTATTGACATATATTTTTCGTTGTTTGATCTATAAATAAGTCAATTAATACATTATGAGATATATGAATGAAGAAGTTTTCTAAAATTACTTTCCAAAATTTGTTGGCTGAGCCAGTCGGTTGCCCAAGCCACTGGGAAATTCCATTCCTATTAAGAAAAGAAGTTTAACAAATGAAAAAAAAACAAGTAGATTAACCGTGGCATTCATTGACAATTTTATAAAATTATGATGTGATGGAGGTATTCGAGAAGACGGATCTTCAGTTCCTCCACGGCTATATTGAGGTTGGTAGTCTTCGAATGAAAGATCTGGAGGTGATCTTCCCATGTAATATGATGATTCCACAAACAGCATACTAGGTCTTGTTGGATTTAGTATGACTTGTGAGTTACTACAGTTATTTTTAGCGTTAATCGCTATAGATTGTTCAATTTCATCCATAATGCAGTTCTATTAAGTATAGATGCAAATGTATTTCAAACAAAGTAAATATATCATAATTACTTTATCTTGAACAAGTGATTTCTGTTCTAGAATTATGCTGAATGCAATGCTCGATATTTTTATTTTACTGCAATAGTATATATATATGCCAACACATTGACTCTTCGTCGTTATTTACTTTCCCATAGTGGGTGAGAGGAATGAAACAAAAAAAAATTTTTTCTTTTTCTCTCTCTATAGAATAAAACAAAAATGCGAAATAGAACACTTACTCATCACATATTTAGAGTTTCTTGGTAGAATATTGTATAATTAACTCATTGTTTAACATGAATGGCAATGAAGCATGAAGGAACCTTCGGTGATCAATCAGTTGATACAATACTCAAATTAGTTTTTGTCTCTATACTATATGCTGTCCTATGATCAACGAATCCTAATGAATAAAAAAATCATGTCTTTCGTTTCATCGCATCTCTATGTGATTTTATCATATATTGAGTAAACAATGTACTCGTGTAAAGACAGTTTTCACGAAGAATTTTTCTGATTTTTTTTTTAATATGTTGAATTGGTTTCTATCTAGTTTTAATAACTG